CCAGCGCTTCGAGAAGTTCAGCCGTACCTTCAACAACACCGTTGACAACACTGAGATCCTCTTCGATTTCTCCAAGAACTTCCTTACCGAAGAGACCCTGGCTCTCCTGGTCAAGCTGGCCAAGGAAGCCAACATTGAGGAGCTCCGTGATGCCATGTTCAAGGGTGACCACATCAACTTCACTGAGGACCGTGCTGTCTACCACGCCGCCCTGCGCAATGTCTCCAATGAACCCATGCAGGTGGATGGCAAGAGCGTTGTTGAGGACACCAACGCTGTCCTTGAGCACATGAAGGAGTTTTCCGAGCAGGTCCGTAGCGGTGAGTGGAAGGGTTACACTGGCAAGAAAATCAACACCATCATCAACATTGGTATCGGTGGTTCGGACCTGTAAGTGGGATCTGGTTTCTCGATGAGCGCGTCAGACACAATACTAACTGCGGAATCCAGTGGTCCCGTCATGGTGACCGAGGCCCTGAAGCCCTATGGTGCTGCCGACCTGAAGCTGCACTTCGTCTCCAACATTGACGGAACTCACATTGCTGAGGCCCTCAAGGAGTCCGACCCCGAGACCACCCTGTTCCTGATTGCCTCCAAGACTTTCACCACGGCTGAGACCACCACCAACGCCAACACCGCGAAGAAGTGGTTCCTCGAGACCGCTAAGGAGGATTCTCACATTGCCAAGCACTTCGTTGCTCTCTCCACCAACGAGGCTGAAGTCACCAAGTTCGGTATTGACAAGAAGAACATGTTTGGTTTCGAATCGTGGGTTGGTGGTCGCTACTCCGTCTGGAGTGCCATCGGTCTGTCCGTTGCCATTTACATCGGGTTCGACAACTTCCACCAGTTCTTGGCTGGTGCCCACGCCATGGACAAGCACTTCCGCGAGACTCCCCTGGAGCAGAACATCCCCGCTATCGGTGGTCTGTTGAGCGTGTGGTACAGTGATTTCTTCGGTGCCCAGACCCACCTGGTTGCTCCCTTCGACCAGTACCTACACCGCTTCCCTGCCTACTTGCAGCAGCTTTCTATGGAGAGCAACGGTAAGGCGATCACGCGCACGGGCGAGTACGTCAAGTACACCACTGGCCCTATCCTGTTCGGTGAGCCGGCCACCAACGCACAGCACAGCTTCTTCCAGCTGCTGCACCAGGGTACCAAGCTCATTCCCTCGGACTTCATCATGGCTGCCGAATCGCACAACCCCGTCGAGGGTGGTAAGCACCAGCGCATGCTTGCGTCCAACTTCCTTGCGCAGTCCGAGGCTCTCATGGTCGGTAAGACCCCTGAGGAAGTCAAGACTGAGGGTGCCCCCGAGAACCTGGTGCCTCACAAGACCTTCTTGGGCAACCGCCCCACCACCTCGATCTTGGCCCAGAAGATCACTCCCTCCACTCTCGGCGCTTTGATCACCTACTACGAGCACGTTACCTTCACCGAAGGTGCCATCTGGAACATCAACTCATTCGACCAGTGGGGTGTCGAGTTGGGCAAGGTTCTGGCCAAGAAGATCCAGCAGGAGCTGGAGACTGACGGCGCCGGTGCTGGCCACGATGCCTCGACCAGCGGCCTGCTCCTTGCTTTCAAGAAGAAGGCCAACCTGGCATAAGAGAATGAATCGGATGCTGTGGGATGCATATGCTTGGAGGACAAAAACAAGTTGTACAAGACAAGTTGTACATGTTCATGAAGCCATGAGTGACTCTATAATTTAATACCTTTCTATTCAAATGAGTATAGTAGGTGCAAGGCTACTAGTGACAGTACAGTGCACAACGTAGGGATCTCTCTCTCGTATATGTCTACAGACAGAAGTGCAGAAGTGCACTGCTCTAGATTGGTGTTGTTGAATCAGCAATCGCGCTAGTACGGATGGGAGAGGCATACCACAGAATTTCGAAAGAACAGCAGTTGCAGTTGCTGTGTGAGTGAGATGTGGTGGATGACGGCGAATTAACCAAGTTTTAGTTCCCTTGCGGCGACGGCCCCCATAACCGTGGACCACAACCAACACTCAGGGCTGTGTTTGTCTCGCTGTTCTTTCTCCGTCCTCGCTCCTTATCGCTAGCAGCGAGCCCAGACGCCTTGTCGGCGTGCGCAAGTATAACATTTTCTTTTTCTTTAAGCAAAAATGCCATTCTCCACCAGGGGCAGCACTGCCCACACTCTTTGGCAGTATGGCCTTCTATTCTCCGTCTTTCTCCAGACCTCCGCGGCGGGGGGCAGCGATTCCCCGTCCAGCGGGAGAAACGGATACAGTTATGGACAAGCCATACCAGTGACCTGTCTCAATCGGACCATGTGAGTTCTTTCACCAGCAATCTTGCTTGAAAGAGAAAAGCAAATATACTAATCACATTGTTCTGGAAGTGACTCGGGCGAGCATGTAAATCACCACCACCACCACCCACTCCCCCTCTTCCTCATCACATCGCCACCATTACCTTGAAAAGCGGAAACAGTTTACTGATACGTTCAATTGTCAACCCTCCAGATAACCGACAATCAAGGACACCTCCAATACATCCCCTTCCCAGCATGCAACGAGACCTCCCTCCCGCTTGCCCTCCACTACGGCGTCTCCGAGACCGTCAACTGCACCATCGCCTCGCTCCCGGATGAGCTCTACCACCTCCTCGAATACTACGTTCACTCGGACGTGCCCATGACCTGCCGCGTGCCCACCGCCCCCTTGGCCCAGCATCTCCTCAACACGCCCGATACCGAGGCCGACGACCAAGCCGCGGGGAGCCACGAGCTCGAGATCGAGACCGACGGCCCGTCCTACACGCCCATCACCTTCGCGCTCCAGGGCACGCTCCAGCGGAGCCATCTGCACATCTGGACGGACATGAACCTCCTAGCGCACAATATCGCGGCGGATTCAAAGAATCCGAAACAAAAGACAAAGAAGGGTAAGGCGGCGGGCTACGTCGTCGCGGGCACAGCCTACTCGGTCCCGGAGTTCGATGTTATTATTCAGCGACAGATGCAGAAGACACATACCAGCGATGAGGAACAGGCGGCGTCCGCGGCCGTGGTGGAGGCGGCCAAGGATCCCTGGACCGCGGGCCATGGGACGAAAGTCATCCGCGGGGAGCCGTTGACGTTCTCGTTTCATGTTAACTGGGTCGAAGGCGGGAGGGGCATTGGGTGGCCTTCCCAGGGGCTGGGGGCGTCTGGTACCCTGGTGGGAGGAGGAAACGGGGGCGACGGCGCGGGTTTCTTCTCCAGACTGGTGTTCTTTGTGATGGCTGCTGGGGTCGGTGCGGTTGTGGCTTTGTATTGGGAGAGGAACGGTGGCTCTTTTGGGGTCAGGCGGCGGAGGGGGGAAGGGATCCTCGGGGTGAGTTCTTCGTCCAGAGGAAAGGTGGGCAATGGGGCTGTGGGAATCACGTATGGAAACGGCGGCAAGATGAATGGTTATGGTGGTTACTCTTCGGCTGGGGCTGGCAATGGGGCCGCCGGGGCTGGGTTTGGCTATGGAGGGTATACAGGTAGTGGGAAGAGGGACTGAACTGACTTGGATCTTTTTTTTGGTCTGCAGTTGGAAAATGTCTGTAGTGTATATGGTTTTGTGCAGAATAGCTGTATTGCACGGCATGGAATGGACATAGACCACAGATACCGCTAGATGGATAGATAGATAGATAGACCATGTTTTGTGATAACTCTATTGTTGGACACAATTGGATTCAAGAAAACAAATGAGATATAGCAAGTAAAAAACACAACCATAGCAATATGAAACAATCTCCGAATTTAGTATACAGAGCAAGGCGAACACCCTTTTTCCCCTCCCGCAACAAATCTCTATTGTGCTCGTTGCTTCAATACATCCCTATCTCCCAAAAACAAGACCTCCTCTTTCCTCCCTGATGGAAAAACCATACCCGCATCTCGTTATATACACCCCCGGGGTAAAAAAGAAAACCACCCCATCCATCCGCCTCTCCGATCCCCGCAGAACAGAACACCGAGGAATCTAGAGAATCTCTTACCAACCCTGAGCTCTCATCTTCTCAACGCGCCGCAGGGTGTCCTGGAAGGAGAACTTGAACAGCTTCCTCCACCGAGCACTTCGCTTCTCCTTGCGCAGCTGTCCCTTCCGGACGTGGAACTTCTGATCCTTGACCATTTTCTTCAACCGGGATTGGCCCAGGCGGGCGGCCAGCATCCGCAACGCGGACGACAGATCGTTGCCGCGGTCGGGCTCGATGGAGATCTCCCGTCCGAGGGCGGGCCCCAGCTTCAGGTTGACCTTCGGAGCCAGGCGCAGGTTCTCCTGCGCCGCGAGCCCGGCGAGCGGGCCGGCGCCCGCAGCGGAGGGATCGTTCGACGGCGCGTGGCGGCCGCCCAGTCGGAGCTTGCTGAAGATCTCGTCGAAGGCCATGTCGGCGCTGGAGTTGTAGGCGGTGGGCTTGGGCGATGAAGGGACGCCGCCGCCGCTGCCGAAGGCTCCGTGCGGTTTGCGGTTTGGGGGGAGGCCGAATTGTGAGGCCGGGGTGGAGGCGGATGCGGATGTGGATGTGGTCGACGGCGTGGAGGGTGACGCGGGCGAAGATGAGGAGGACGAGGAGGGTGAGGATGACGATGACGACGAAGACGACGAGGAGGAAGAGGAGTTGTAACGGATCGCTGGGAGGGACTGTCTGGCGAATTGCTTCGTGTACAGAAGGGATGTCGGTGTCGTCGTCGGCCGGGCAGCCGAGCGAAGACACTGCGACAGGGTACGCATCTCCATGGCTAGAGCTCTGATGGTCGTAGTGCGATGGGCACCACAGAAACCGATATCGAAGATGTTTCCGCTGAGTTGAGCGCAAGGACCCACGCTCCAATTGAGACAAGAGGAAGTGGTTATCGGAGGCAAGATCGCGGAGAAGGGAGTGTCAATGCCTATCCGCTGGAATTTCCCGCTCGGAAATCTTCGTGTCACGTGAGCTGCGGCATACTTCGAACAATTGACTTGAGATCCCAACGGACTCGACAGACTACATCACTCGTTACCCCTCATTTATATTGGATCTGGGAGCAACATAGTCGGTATATGACTCAGGTTCCTGACTTGATTTGTTTATAATCCAACGAAGCCCACCTCAAGATTCTACCACGCAAGATATCAAAAATGTCCTCCATCACAATCGCAACTCTTCCCCGCATGAGCCGCGATGCTCTCTCGGCCCTCCTCCTCTCGGCCACTTCCCCCAGCAAACTGGCCATCGTAGATGTCCGTGACTCTGGTACGTTCCTCCCTCATACGAATACTTAGACTGCATAGGAACTTACCCGAATGGAATTTAGACCACGTCGGCGGCCATATTTTCTCTTCCACCTGGGTCCCTAGCTCCACGCTGGACGTGCGCATGCCCGAACTCGTCCGCACGCTGGAAGACAAGGAGCAGGTGGTGTTTCACTGTGCGCTCAGTCAGCAGCGTGGTCCCTCTGCGGCGCTCCGTTATGCCCGGGAGAGAGAGCGTGTGCTCGGCGCCGAGGAAAGCCACAAACAGAAGGTTTTTGTCCTGGAAGGAGGCTTCGTGCAGTGGCAGGAGAAGTACGGGAAGGACACCCGGTTGACCCAAGCATATGTGGAAGATATTTGGCGGGAGTACTAAAGGGTCTGTTTCTTTTCTTTTGCTGGGGATGACGTGGTGATTTTTTGCTTATACCCTTGTGGCTTCGTTGTTTTAGATTATATAGTGGGGACTAGTGGTCATGAGTTATTATAGAGATCAGAGCGACATACGGAGACACTCGATTTAGAACGAGAATATTCTACAAGACCGAAAATCGTTGAGGTTATTTAACCGTGGTGCAGTGTACGGTGGAACTAATATACACTTTTTTTTTATCTTCTAGTATACAATGGCTCATGCCATGATATTTCCCCCGAACCCAACTGGACGACGCTTACCATTATTTTCCGGAACGATGGCCATGACCTTGTAGATCTTGCCCATCCCTCCGCCGCCTTTCTCAACCAGTCTCTTCCAGCCAGTCTCTAACGTCTTCCGCTTTGACTCATCCGTCACGCCCTTGAGCAGCTGCTGCATCCGCTCCGCGATCCCCATGGCATGCAGGAAATCACCCTGCTCCACCGGTCCATGAACCTCAACGCCTTCGCTGGCCTCGATGGCCGCCTCAGCCAACGCAGTAAAGTCCACGTCGGCACTAACATCCACCTGTCCCGGCGCCGAAAGTGCCGGCACAGTTTGATGGTGCTGGATTCCACGAAGCGAGTTGATGGGCACCGTAGCAAGAGTCCCATAGTCCATGATCAGCGCTGCACCGGAAGGCACACGCTTCGCCGCAGCCGGCGTTTCCCCACCAGTAGCAATAGTAGCACCCTTCTTCGTGGCCGTACGAGGCGGTTCTGACGCCCCGCCGATCCGCCTTGCGAAGTCAGACGCATAGATCCGACTCTCCGGACTGACCTCAATCGTGGAGCCCGGCTGAGACTTCAGAGCGCGATACCGTTCCGAAATTTCAGGGATGACCAAGGACGATGGCGTGGACGCCTTGGCCAGCGTCAGCTTGAACTCCGGTTCTCCCTCGATGTTCTCCTCCACAGCCTTGGGGTTGAGCGTCACCAACAGCTCTCGCCATTGCGGCACATTCGCGGCCTTCAATGGTTTCCGGAGCTTCGCAGGTCCCGTGGGCGTCATGACCTCGTCCTTCGGCTCGTTCTCCGGTGCCGGGGGCACGGACTCAAAGGCATGGATGGGTAACGCGTCGAAGAACTCGTGTGCGAATATGAAGGGCGTTTTACTCTCCTCTGCACACAAACAACCCGAAGATGGGATATCGAATCAGTACGGCACACGTACCTAAACAGTAGGGAGGGAGGGGACTAATGCATCCTCACCATGCGGCAGCAACCGAATATCCTCCACCCAGATAACCGGCATGTCAAAATACTTGCACACACTCCGGTGGCCAATATCCGTTTCCTCCATCGCCGCATCCTCGCCGCAGAGCAGCCGCTTCTGAACCTCTCTCAACGTCGAACTCGCCTCGACCAGATATATCGCCTCGATGCTCGACGCAAAGCTTCTGAAATTGCGGAATGTCTGTATGGGACGCAAACAGTCACCTATCGTTAGCGATCTAGTCGCTCTATCACTCCACACACACACACCCCGCAACCAGATGTGGTGGTGGGGGAAGAACTCACCCTCAGCATATCATCCATCAACGTCCCCTTCCCCGGCCCAACCTCCATGAGCTGCACCCCACTTTTTGTCCGTCCCTGCGCGATCCACTCGGTAATCGTCCAGATCCCGACCAGCTCGCCGAACACCTGCGAGATCTCCGGCGAGGTCACGAAGTCGCCTTTCTTTCCGAAGACCTCGCCCTCACCCGCGGGCCGGGTAGTGTAGTATCCTCCTTCCGGGGAGGTAAGGACTTGGCGCATAAACGCCGCGATGGGGATGGGGCCCGTGACCTATAGGTTTTGAAACGGGTGCGTTAGTCCTCTCGACAGTGCGTGTTCCAGGGTGCGAATTGGGCACGAGCATATTGGGAGGGGGGGGGGGCGCTGGGGGGAGGGAAGATGAGCTTCGTCTTGGAACAGAAAATGCTATCTACCTTCATGGCGTTAGCCAGGGTCTGGGCAAGAGGGGTCGACCATTGGCGGTTGTTGTCGAATGAGGATTGACATCTTCGTGCGGACAGGACGAGAGTCTGCGTCTGCGTTGCGCGTTTTCTGAGCGCTCGGAGATGCTTCAGAGCACGCCCGGTTGCTTGCTGCATCTTGCGCGCACCGTCCTACACTATGGGTAGGTGCGAGGAGTGAGCTCCGTTGCGGGAGGAGCGGTCAATTGTTTCGATCGTAGGACCCCAGGCAGGTTTCCATTAGCGTTGATTTGGGAGATGAGCAATCATTAAAGCAATGCTGTTAAGACAGACATGACGCTTTCTCCAACTTCTCCGCAAAACTTCCGCTGCACGTGATTGTGTCCTGGCCTTATCGGGCGATTATCAACGCTTTCCGGAAATGGGCATAAGCTTGATTTGGATTAACTGAGATTTAGTTTACATGTTTCTGTTCTACGCGTAGATTCTGCTCAATTTCCCCGATGTATACATTTTTCCCCGGCATATCGGTGACGTAGATAAATTTCGCTACCGCCAGTGACGGCTCAGCGGTGATAGCGCCTGCCGTGGGGTTGTTGGTTCTGCTGTGGCGCGTCCACCATCATCTGGTCACTGTAGAGACCTGTCTCTTGCGTGTCCTGGTTCGAGGCTCCGCCGTTTCGAGGCCCGTTACGATAGCCCCTGTTATTCCATCTGCGGTTGTTGCCCCACGGTCTGTGTGGTTCGACTGCTTGGTTCTGCTCGGTGAACCCGTAGTTTCCGTCTTGAATCGTCGTGTCACCGGAGCGGTGCGAGCGGCGGTCTCGATCCGCTTGCTCCCGGAGGTTGTTGAAGGGGCTCTGTGGGTTCTGATAGTTGGTGGCACCGTTATCGGCTCCCAGGCTAAGGGGTTTCAGGCGCATCGAGATGATCCGGCCATCAGCCTAGCCATTTATTAGTGTCAAGCTGAGAAGGAATGCGAGTATGACTGACCCTCTGGTTGTGAAAGTTGGCAATCGCGCTGTCCGCGCCCTGTCTCTCGGCAAAGGTGATCTCTGCCGACACTGCGGGGTGCTGCGTTATCACCCAGCAGCTGAGGACTGGGCCGGCCACGGGCTCAAGAGCCGCTTGAATGTCGGCTGCGGTGGTGCCCGGTGCAAAGTTGCTGCCGACTACCACGGAAGGTCCTGAGCCAGCGCCCTTGATGGTCATCCCCACCTTACTGCCTCGTACGGTTGCTTGTCCGCTGTCTGGAAGGAGTGCAGAGAGCAGGCGTTGCTCGTCGGGACGGCGCTGCTTTGCGCCAGGTCGATCGGTCTGACGCGCCTTGGGGCGGGCCTGATGAATGACAGGCTTGGGGTTTGTTCTAGGATTCGCGGGCGAAGACGTCGGGCGCTGGGATGGATCGATGAATGATGAGTATCTTGATTCAACCAAAGAAGCCGGCGCGATGCCGTTCGGTTGATATTTACCTTGGCTACACCGATGCGACTGGCGAGGCTGCCTGGCTTCGCATCCTGTGCCTTCTTTGCGCCCTTTGCGGCGCCCCCATTTGTTACTCGGTTCTTACCGAGTAGCTGGTTTGCAAGGTTTTCGTTCTGCTTTCTTTTGCGATCTTGAGGCAGACTTCAGCTCAAGTGTCTAGGCTGGTGAATTGATTGCACTGAACGATGAAAAAGCTTACCAGCTTGGATGATCGCATTGAAGTCGGCGGCAGCCTTTCCGGCAGCCATGATGGAAGGTAGTAGACCGATTGAAGGTCCGACCAACCAGGAAAATGCACGAGTAATTTGACTCGAGACAAGTGGATAAAAATATACCGGGTATGCAGGCCCTAGTAGAGAGAACAAGTTGACGGAGGGAGTCGATAAAAATGCTGAGGGAGAGTCGCAGGTCGGTCGAGCTGAATGAAAGCGCGGAGGAAAGCATTGAATCCTCGGATTGGAAGTTGGAGCTCCGGCGCGGGTTCCGCTTCCCGGCATTTCTATTTCTATTTCTATTTCTAGTTACATACACTTCGAGTACTTGACACTTTCCCCCTACCCCTGATGGACTCTTATGGGATTTTTGTCAAGAGCTTCGGGCTCAGGATGTCTTATCACAGTCTCATCCTTGCGACCGATTCGAGTCCAAGTAAGGAAACCAACTCTTCGAGATGATCGGGTAGCTGCAACACAGGCTGTTCTGTTCGGCTTTCGTCTGTGCAACATTCAATTCATTTGTCATGGCCAGGAAGGAAGGCACTTCCCACCCCAACACCTGCCTCTGTCCGACATTGCAAATGCGCCTGTGGGACAGCGTGGCGGGTTTGTTATGGCTTCCTTCGGCCTGTCTGGTCGTCGCCTCAATCTGCGTCGCCCTTTGAATGATCCCATCCAGGAAAACCCCGGACCTCGTCTTTGCAATCGACAACAAGCGTCGGACTTTCTGGCACTGTTTAGTAAGACACGGCTGGCTCTATTCCAACTTCTCTTGGAGGTTTCTTCTTGGAAGGACATCGATTGAGGGAACAATGGACGCACCAGACTCGGCATTTGGAAACAACAGACGTCGCCCGGCGTCATCGTACTCTTTTAGCCTCTGCTACCCCGTCAGCCGCAGGAACAGGTATGCCTCTGCGTCGTCAATATCAGGAGGCGTGCTAATTGCTTAGGGCTGCCATACGACGGCTTACCGCCCCCTCGCCAGCATGTGAGGAAAGTATTCACTACCCAGTCTTCAATCCGCGGGATCCGCGACACAACCCTGATGTTATCGCCTCGCCATGGCTGGAGGATGATTGCGATCTCTCCCAGCAGACAGCTTCGCCAAGAACAAGTCGTTGGATACAGAATCTGCCCAGAAGATCTCTTCGAAGAGCCCATCTAGGACTACTTGCGCTGAGGTCGGGGATACGTCGGCGATCCAGTGGACCTCCACCTGTTCGCACCGACAACCCCAGCGCCTGGTCCTCGGCGGAATCGGCAAAAGACTCGCTGGATCAGCAGGGAACGCTCTACTCCTCCACAGTGTCCGAGGCTAGCACTGCTGAAGATGTTGATTTCGGAGCCGACCTCCAACGCATCAGCTGCAAATATCCTTCGGAACCAAATGGCGACATCGGCAAATATTTGCAGAAACTACCAATTCATGTCGAATGTGAAGCAGATAGTACTTTTCTAAATGGTTCGACTGTGCGTCACTGTCGCTCCGAGGCAGTTCTCGCTGTCCCTAGATCCGAGGTCAATTCGACGGAATCACAACATGGACAGACCGCGAGGTTGCAAATCACAGCGTTCCAGGGTAACCATGAGGTACCAGAAGCTTTGAATGAGCCCGATGAGGCTGCGACGGGCCAAGAGCCTCGCACCACCACCACCACCACTACCGTGTCAGTCAGGCCCAACGATTCAGACGAACCCAGCCCGAGGGACAGCGAATTGGAACGCAGCAGTCACTATTTTACTACACCGGGACCTTCATCGAATGATCCCATTGATCTGGATACACAGTTGCAGTCTTTTACGCGCCCGAGTCCCAATGTTCACACTGCCTCAAGCTCAGCCCCCACCAACTCGCGCAAATCAAACGCACTGCGGATGTCGATCAATGCGATTAACAGTTACAAGCCAGCCATGACTCGCGTGTGCAAGACTAATCGTGTGTCTGAAACGCCCCAGATAATAGACGCCGACTTCGCCATGGAGTCCTTGAAATTGTGCGACCGATTGGGGATTAGAGACAGCCATGCTCCCGAGGTGGATCAGCAGAGCGAATCGCCGTTCCATGGATTCAACCAATCTGAGGAGACACCAACAAGGGCCACTGAGCCTTGCGAGCCTGAAGTCAACACACCAATTTCGGAGTTCCTTGAGGACACGATGAATGCGAAGCCGCAGATAGATGTGGCATGTAACCGCTCAGCGGATCCTGACAGGCCGGCACATGTAGGTCACGAGGCCGCTCCTGCTTCCATTACTGGTATGGATGAGCAAACGCAAACAGAAGTCGGTCCGCCGATGGAAGAGATCATGGGGGGGTTTACCCAGAATGAAGAGCAACGGTTCATGTCAGAAATGGAGCAGGTGTTAGAGGAGCCATGGTCCACCATTGATACCGACGATTTGGCGTCACTTCTCGCCCTCAGAGACGAGTACTTCCTTGTCGACAAGTCACCCGATATCCGCCCCGACCGTGATAATAATGCACTCAAGTCCGAGAGGAGCTTCACTGGCGATGGCTGCTTATATAGTGGGCCTGGGCTTGATCGCCATTCGTCGACCAGGGCTCAAGGGATCCCCGAGATCGTGGGCCCGAGATCAGCCAAACATTTACAGAGTCCGCGATCTGCCCGCGCCGAGCGCGAAGCCAGTGACTCCACTGACGATTATGTCTCCAGCTATCCTGCGAGGTACTATTTCTCATCCAGAAGATCTTAATTCTTAATTCGCATTGCCACTTCATTATTGGTGGACCAGGCGACTCTACCATATTTTTATATACACCGCTCAATTGACCCTCCAAAGGTTGAGGCTCATGAACCAGGGAGCGGGTTTCTCAAAACAGCCTTCCTCTTCGCTCCCTTAAACTTGTTCCACAGCTCTTATGCCTTAGAACCCACGTTTATGTCTCCAGGTCGCGACCTGGAAGCCTTCCAGATGATGGTGTTGAAAGTCGTAAACGGACTACCAAGTCTGTCACACCCACGATGCGTAGCTCTATATATAGTCCAATCGTAAAAGTACATGCTTCACAGCCAAGGGAGCACTACCCCAGGCGCAAGGTAAACCCAGCCCCGGCCTCCGGACCATCACCACCCGCCTGCGCACCCCCAAACACGCTCGCAAAATCCAACTTTGGGGCTTCTTGGCCGCGCTTCGGCGCCTCGGGGGTCTCCCGTCGTCTCCGTTTCTCCTGGCCCGCCTTGGACGGGAATGTAGGGAACATCTCTTTGGGTTTGGGCCGGGGGTCTTCCCGGAAGTACGGATGGGCCAGACACTGCTTGGCTGACGGGCGGGCATTGGGGTTCAGCGCCAGGAGTGACGACAGTAGCCGTAGGCCTTCGTTGGTCAGGTAGGGGAACTTGCCGCGCGGTAAGAGCGGCGGATTAGCGACACCACTACCGCCCGGGGCTGCTGAGGATGAGGACGACGACGGGAGTCGAAGGGATTTGGCATTAGGGAGGGATCGGAATTCAGGCCACATTTGGGTGGTTGGGGGCCCGGTTAAGGCGAAGATCTATTTGGACCGTCGTCAACTTCTTGCTTTTTCTTTTCATTTTTTTTTTGGTAGAATGAATGAAGGTGGGCAAGCAATGATTCATACCTTGGACACCTGATCGACCTCATTCTTGCCCTGCAGCAGGGGCTCCTTGCCCAGCAGCTCCCCGAAGATACACCCGATGCTCCACAGGTCGATCTCCGGGCCGTACCGGTCGGCGCCCAGCAGCAGCTCCGGGGCGCGGTACCAGAGGGTGACGACCAGCTGGGTCAGCTTGGGCGGCGGGGGGTCGCCGTAGGAGCGCGCCATGCCGAAGTCGGCGATCTTGATCTCGCCGCGGTTGTTCATCAGCAGGTTCGAGGTCTTGAGGTCGCGGTGCATGATCCACTGCGCGTGGAGGAATTCGAGCCCCGAGATGATCTGGAGGAGCAGGGTTTTGGTCTCGGACGGGAGGAAGGGCTCGCGCATGTCGTCGAGGAGGGTCTTGAGGTCGTGTTCGACGAAGGGCATGACTAGGTAGACTCTGGTTTGGGGGGAATCGTGTTAGTATATGGAGTGGTTTGGGGAATGATTTTGAGGGGTGTCTTCATGGCGTGCGGCGTAGTGTGCGTTTTTGACACAAAAAGTGAAAACGTACTCATCCATCTTGGTCCCCATCACTACTTCCCGTAGTTCGATGATGTTCTGATGTCGGGCTTCGAATAAGGTCTGGATCTCTCGGAGCCCCGTCACCGGGAATCCCTCCGGGGAGGTGGGCTCCAGCTTGAGTTTCTTGAGCGCCACGATCTCGCCGGTCGTGATGTCCTTGGCGCGGCTGACGAAGCCGTAACTGCCTTCTTCGATGTGGTTGAGGCGCTCGAAGTTGTCGACATGGCGACAGGGGCCCCATTCGGAGGTTGGGAGTGTGAGGAGGTTGTTCCCTTCGGCGGTGGTCTGAGGGTCGGAGGTGTTGGGTTTGGATGGTTGCGGGGATTGTCGGGCTGGGTCGTGGTCGTTGGAGAGGCGGCGACGCTTGGAGGGTGGAGGCGCGTCGGTCTGCGTGAAATTGGGATCTTGCGATTGAGCCTGAAGTTTGGCCTGTTGTTGTTGCTGCTGTTCTTCTAGCTGACGTTGTTTCTCGGCTTTGGCGCGTCGTTTCTCTTCCTTTTCGCGTTTGCGTTGGGCGAGGATGGCCTCCGTCTCTGGGTCATCGTCGTTGGCCCAGCGCGATTTCGAGGACATGGTCTAGATGTGCAGGCTATTGGTTGAACGACATGGGCAATTGTGACGTTGTCGTTGTCGTTGTTGTTGTTCTTGTTGTTGTTGTCTGGTGGTTTGAAGGACAGAGGTGAAGCTGTCGGAGCTACTATCGCAAGAAGATGAACGACAGGGCACCCGGATGATTGGCCGGATGACGCTATGGGTTGACGGAGCGGGTCTGGAAACGAGCTAAACCTGATCGGTAGGTTGATTTCAAAGCCGCTCCCCGCCTCGGCCCGCATTCAAGAAGAGGACGGAGGGAGGGGGTTCCTACGCCGTACAGTACCTGATGATTTTGTGATTTTGTTTGCTGCTGCATTACTACTGACTGGAGATCTAAGGGCGCTACTAGACGAGATGACTATTGAACCTTTCCAGGTGGGTGCTGCTGCTTTCTACGCCATGCGTCACGCGGTTCTAATCAATCCAGACCACCTTCGCGGTCCCGATGACCTGCGAGGGTTGCGTCAAAGATGTCTCCGCGTCGCTCAAGAAGTTGGACGGTATGACAGCCAGTTCCCCCTCCCCGTTACCCACGCAGCTCTAACCAGAACCTGTGTTAGGGATCAGCAAGGTTGAGGCCAGCCTGAAGGATCAACTGGTCTTCATTGAGGGCACCGCGCCGCCCAGCTCCATTGTCACTGCCATCCAAGCTACGGGTCGTGATGCGATCTTGCGAGGGAGTGGCACCTCCAACAGTACGTGCTCTGTCCCCTCCCCCCTTTTTTATGTGATGTGCCCAGTCGGGTTGGATGGGATTATGCTAACTTCGGTGGTGTGATCTTCTTTGTTTTTGCCTGCAGGTTCCGCGGTGTGCATCCTCGAAACACATTCCACTGCCGTCTCGAACAAGATCCGCGGTCTGGCACGCATGGTTCAGGTGTCGTCCAATATGACCCTGGTGGATCTGACGATCAATGGCCTCGCCCCGGGCAAGTACGTGGCGACCGTGCGCGAGGCGGGCGATATCTCGCAAGGTGCGGCGTCGACGGGAGGCATCTGGGAGGCCGTCAAGGCCAAGGTATTGGGCTCGACGGAGCCCACCAAGGAACCACGTGGGGTCTTTGGGTCAGTGGAGGTTGACGAAAAGGGACGAGGCAATGTCTTTTTGGATCGACCGGTCGCGATCTGGGAGATGATTGGCCGCAGTATGGTGGTGTCAAAGAATGCTGAGGGCCCCTTTAATCGGGAAGACTCGAACACATTGGTTGGGGTCATCGCTCGTAGCGCGGGGGTGTGGGATAACGACAAGATGGTCTGTTCCTGCTCCGGTAAGAACGTTTGGCAGGAGCGGCAGGAGCAGGTCTCCCAGGGAATGGTATAGAGGGATCTGATAATGGCGGGTTTGGCAGGAAATCTGGTGTGATTTGACTACATCAGAGGGCATAAGCCGTTCTATGTATAGCACAGAGAAGGAGGGGGGTGGGGTCACCGTGGAATTGCTTGTGCATGGGCAATTCGATCGACAAGTGTTACTACTACTCCTATCAGAGATAGCTAGATAATTTACGAGCCACATGAATGAATAATGATGACTCGAGTACTCCGTACTGCTGGGAGGCAGGAAGCAGAAGCAGCAGCAAAAGAAGAAGACACCGACAACCCCAGACTCAGGTGACTGGCAGCCATGCAGGAGCAACTGCACGACACACCGACTAGTCGTGGGCAGGGCATGGCAAGGACACTAAGAACACTAAAGATAGATCGAGAGCTACTCCTAGTGTTCATAGTACAACGGTCCGACAGGGAGTGAGAGAGCCAGAGAGGGCGATAGGGCGTTAGGGTGCGCAAAGAGGCCCGTATTCCACAGAGTGGGTCGATCTAACAAGTTGGAGGCAGGAATGGAATGGTCAATTCGCTCAGGCGCAAGCGCCGTGGCGGGGAAATTTCCCAATGCACTGAAAGTATAATCCTCCATCATCTCCAGGTTGGGTTCTGTTGTGAGAGTCAAGGTCAAGAGCTTCACAGGAAGAAGAAGAAGAAGAAGAAGAAGAATCCAATGTTTGTCTGTCTCTCTGTCTGTCTGAACTGAATGTTTGAGTGTCTGTGTGATGGTGTGGTGGTGTGGTGGTAATAATAATGGTATGGGGTAAACCCATTCATTGTATTTGTGACAATTCTGCAGCCCCGCATGGCTTTTCCCACCGGGAACGGGGCAGTTAACTGGAAGTAAGTAACTAAGTAGTAAGTACTCCGTAATCTCCTTGGAAATCTCCTGATATGAAGGCACGAATCCAATCAACCGGGCTCGGATGGATCGACTCTTCTGCGATGTGATGAAAAGCGTCACCCCCTGCAGCATCCAATCCCTGGCTCTGCTGGCTCTGCTGGCTCGCTGGCTGGAAGAAAAAGATGCTGCTGGGATGTGACTAGGATCAGACCTTTTTTTAATTCTTTACCCAACTATTTTTATTCTTTTTCCCCTCTTTCTTTCTTCCCTGTCCATCTTTTCCTTCTCCCCTTCCATCCCAGAACTGCATTGCACTGCACCCACCATCCTGAGTAGTTCCTGGCTGACAGGCTGCTTGCTTGCTGCATTTGCTGCATTGCATCGTTTCCCCTTCCTCTCCTTCATTAACTATTCTCTCTGCGCGCTAATCCCAGTCTTGCCTTGATCTTCTTTCCTTCGGTCTATTTTCTCCTTTCTGCATCGGTACTCCGTACCTGCTAACCACTTCCATTTCTGTTTTTGTCCGTTCTTCGTCAGCCATCATTATCACCATTATCACCATTATCACCATCATCATCAACATCATCATCTCCCAACCCAAAGTGGTGTACTCACCACCCAGTACTCAACGTGTTTGTCGGCCTGTCCAAGCTCTAACCACGCGGGAATCCAAAGCAAATCAAATTAAATCACCTTCGAAACAAACTTTACTCTCCCAACCTTCTCATCCCCTACGTATCCCGTCCCAGCCAGTCTGGTCTTCCTTGCCTTCGTCTTGGCTGGTCTCTAGACGGTCGTCGCTAGCGGCTGGGTCGCGGCATCCGTGATCTAATTATATATCCGATCTATCTATCTCTTGAGTTATCTATCTCTCCCGCTAAGAGGCCCATTGCGCATGGTCTATTACTCGCTCGCCGTCTGCGCTCAGTCTCCTCCATCCCGGGTCCACCGTGCGATTCCATCCCTGTTCTCGGCGTGGTCGAGGACTCTGTCGTCAGCGTGCTGGTCCGATCAATCACAAGTCGGGGACATATATACTACGACGTGGGGTTCTCGACCGGTCAGCCCCGTCTGCGTCGTGTTTTAGGTCAGTACCAGGGCGACTGCGGCACCTGATATCGCCTATCGTTGGTGCTACGGGCTCAAGTCAGACATGTCCATCAAGCAGGTAGGGTTGCTTCCTTCCCCCACCGTAAGGGCAGGCTGAGCAGGGCTCACATTACTCAGGAGATTGAGACCTGGGTGCAAGCCCTGGACCACTACGACAACCAAGAATACGATGAAGCCCTTCAGGTCTTCAGCGCCATCGCCGAAACATCCAAGATCCTTTTCAACTGTGGAGTCATATATGCCACCTTGGGAGAGCACGACAGAGCAGTAAGACCTACTCTTCGTTCACGGCATTCCCTCATACTGACGGCGATCTAGGTCGAGTGCTACCAACGAGCAATTGGGCTAGATCAATACCTGGCCATCGCATACTTCCAAGAAGGAGTGTCCAACTTCCTGCTGGGTGACTTTGAGGAGGCATTGGCCAATTTTAATGACACCCTGTTGTACCTTCGAGGTAACACCTCCATTGACTACGAGCAGCTGGGTCTTAAGTTCCGCTTGTACTCGTGCGAAGTGCTGTTCAACCGCGGTCTGTGCTATATCTACCTGCAGCAGATGGGCCCCGGCCTCCAGGATCTCGACTATGCGTCCAAAGAGAAGGTGACGCCGGACCACGATGTCATCAATGATGCAATCAAGGAACGAGCACAGGTACGTTTCATATAGGAGCGGCAGGAGATTTCAATCCTAATGGCAAACAGGGCTATACAGTCTTCTCCATTCCGGTAGGGGTGGTCTACCGGCCCAACGAGGCTAAGGTCAAGAATCTGAAGTCGAAAGACTACCTGGGTAAGGCCCGGCTGATTGCCGCGACAGGGGAGCGTAACGGCGTTCCGTCCGGCCCGCTGAATCTGGAAATCCCCCGCGCTCAGTCGGTGCTCGACCACCGGCATACCGAGCACCTTCCGTTCGCCACCTCGCACTTGGTGCACAAGAACCTGCCCAGCCGGAGCCGTCAGCACTCTGAACCGCCCCTGAACCGTAATCTCTTCCCTCCTACTCCCCCGCCGGACGCAGACAAGGCGAGTACCAACAGCTCCACAGGAAGTCTCGGGACCACCGGTCGACCGGGGTCCATTCGCGCTGCGCCGCCCCCGCGACTCGACCTGAACCAGAGCATCGGACACGAGACCGTCCTAGGCGAGAAGCCGCGCATCGGAACGACTCGCACGGCCTCCGAGCCCCGGAGAGCGGCGGCAGCTGCTTCGGCTCGCGCCGGCCCTCGGGAGGAACAGTCGTCCCGCGGTCGGGAGATGCGTGGCCATCGACGAGGGGTCAGTGACACGGGGTCTGCATCGACAGCAGGTGGGTATCCGGAGGGCGGGTATTCGGGCACGCGGTCCATGCCCGTGGGGACCGGCTGGCGTCGGCAACGGGAACGATACATCGACGAGGAAGAAGAGTATGTCAGTGGGTCGGGCTCGGCGGAGGGCGACTTCGACCTGGTCGACGGACACGGACGATCGCCGCAGCGACAATCCCAGCGCGGGACCTCGCGAGCCCGACGGCCCGAGGTGCGCAAGTACCGGGTCAAGACGCATGCCCACGAGGATACGCGGTATATCATGATTGAGCCTGTGATCGACTTCGCCGAGTTTGAACAGCGGATCCGGGACAAGTTCGGGTTCCGAACGTTGCTCAAGATCCGCATGCAAGACGATGGTGATATGATTACGATGGTGGACCAGGAGGATTTGGATCTGCTGATGAGCTCGGCCCGTGAGATGGCACGACGGGAGGGGAGTGAGCTCGGGAAGATGGAGGTAAGTCGTTTTCTTTCTGTGGGGTCGTGCAGCACTGGGACTAACGCGAGGATAGATCTGGGTCGAGGAACGAGGGGTGATATGACTTTAACGACTGACTGCATTGGTTGGCATTGGCGTAGCGTTCTGGTATACCCTTGTGGGCGGAGTAACATGGTGGGAATATTCACGAAGTGATGATTGTCTCTAATGAGCTAGACCAACAAGAGTAATATTTACTTATGGACCTGTCCCTGTGTTGGATAATTCGCTACTTGATCATGGTCACTTTCCCTACGACAGAGCTTGTACGGTAGTACAGTCAGAGAGACTGATGGCCCCTCTCGTCCTCATGCAACTGGCGCAACCGAGCGACCATCTCCTCCGTCCCCCAGCCCTCCAACAAACCCCTCCGAATCAAGTCCTGCTCACTCTCCGGCGCCATGCCATTCGGCGCCGGCGGCCTACGATCCAGGTTCGTGGGGAACGGATACCCCTCGCCGAGCGCCCGGACAAACGCCTCCCAATTCGCATCCAGCTCCTCCTCCTCGTTCCCGGCGTCAGCCTCACCATGACCATGACCATCAAACCGCCTCCGAACCTCCCCCCACACCGCCTCCACCACCGGCACAACATCCACGCGCTCCATCGTCTTCCCCAACGCCGAGCCAATCTGCAAAAGATTCGCCCTCCTCTCAAACCCACTCTCCGGTCCCAAACGATTCTCGCCGGCCGCATGCATCACCGCCGGATTGAAGAACACGGCATCCCCCTCCATCAGCGGGAGCGCCACATACTCGCGCTCAAAAAACTCGCGGAAGTCGGGGCGCCTCCAGGCCAGAAACCCGGCCTCGAAGCGCTGGCTGAACGGCAGGAACCGCGTCGGCCCGCTGCGCTCTGGCATATCGGAGTGGGCGACGGCGCCCTGCAGCGTCAGGAACGCGCTGGCGGCGTGCATGCCCCGCGGAAACCGGGCGCAGTTGCCGTCGTCCTGGAAGCCGAGGTGGTAGTCACGGTGCGGGGACTGGGCCTGGCCGCCGGGCCGGACGATGTTGACCTGTGCGGTGAGGCGGTAGCCCGGGCCGAGCCAGGTCTCGCTGACGGCGCGGAGCCACGGGTTGGAATAGTAGGCGACGAAGGAGGAGGGGTCGGCGAAGGCGTGCTTGCTGAAGCTGTTCCAGATGCGGGCGTTGTGGCCGGAGGAGAAGTGGTCGCCTTTTTTGGCCGAGGTGGTGGTGGCGGCGGCGGCGGCTTCGTGGGCGATGATGCGGTTGAAGGCGGCGGTGGTGGCGGTTAGGGTCGGGTGGTGGTGGTCGTCGTCTTCCACGTCGTAGAAGTGTTGGAGGACGAAAATCCCGGGGCCTTCGGAGAGGATGTGGTACCATTCGTTCTGGACGGTGGTGAGGTCGTCGGGATCAGTCAGGCTGATGGTGCGCGTGCTGTAGATGGGGATGTTTTTGGTGATGGTCGTCGCGTGCGGGTAGAGGGCGCCGTCGGTGGTTTGGGCGCAGAGGCGCTGGAAGTCCGGCAGGGATGGGGGTGGGGAGTCGAGCGAGAGGAGCCGGTTGAAGGAGGGCCGCTGCGGCTGGGTCTGGGTCTCGGGGTTGGGCTTGGGGTTGGGCTTGGTCACGCCCATGGTGGTGGCTTGTTTCTGTGGTTCTCTAGCGAGAGAGTTCTGTTGAGAGTGTGTGGTAGTAAATCGTGATAGAGGGGAAGTGATGCAGAGGAACAATCGATGGGCAGCAATGGACAAGCCGTATTTGTATCTTGAAGCGGAGCTGAAATCCCGAAAGTCACACAGAACATCAGGACCATCCAGGGTTCACTTCGATGCCTCCGGAAATCAGGCAGAATGCACAGACTGTGAGGATAAGATTCCCCGGGATTGCACTGAGGGTCGTTATGTATGCTCGTAGCTCGTCGTAGTTGGCTCGGAGTTCCCCACGTGGACGGCGGAAACCTAATCCCGAGGCAGATTTCAACAACTTGGAAAGTTACCACCTAGGTAGTTATGCATTCTCCCGGGGGGCGATGGGGGGTTGCCCTTCCCCAAATCACAATCGTGTATTACAACTATACAAAGCAATCAGGCTCCGAACACCTTCAAATTCCGGGAAGACTTCTGCCCACATCCACCAGCAAAAAGCCAGCTGCGCCTCAACCCTGACATAGACCAATCAATGGGTGAACATCTGCGTAGAGAGTACAACACGACAATGACCAGAATCAGTGATACCTCCTTCGCCATAAGGCTAACATGGTTCAACGACAAAGGTAGAAAGGTAATCGCGTAGAAAGGTTGGGGAAAAGTGGAAAAGAGTAAAATCGAAAGGTTGAGATCCCGCAATGATCTCTCGCTAGTAAGGTTATATTCAAAAAATGCCAGCCTGCGCACAATTCTATATGTCCCGGATTTTCGCCACAAGAGAACAGCCTGACAGATGAGATATAAGAGAAGTATCGCTTCGTGGTGGTCATGTGCTTTTGGTATTATGCATTCATCATGACGACCCCAACATCGGGGCTTAGTGCAGAGTCGGTCATCGTCAGCTCCTCCGTCTGGTTCGACTCGCGCAGTATCAGCTGGCTCTCCGACAGCGTCTCCACCAGCGAGCTCGGTCGTCCAGCGACAGTGAATAGTATCTTGAGCAGAACGCTCTGCGTCTCAAGGCCCCCTTCCATGGTGGCGGTCTGGTGTCTCGTGTGTGTCAGAAGGATGCGGACCAGAGAGCGGATGTACTGGTCAGTGGACGCATCTTGAATAGCATCCAGACCATGGATCACACACACCATCAGGGGTGGGGCATAATAGAGGAGTATATCGATCAAGGAGAGCACTTCTTTCCACGAAGTCAACGTGCCATTCAACGGCTTGAACCGTTCTGCACTCAGGTTACACCCCGAGTGACTGATGATCACCGGAGGCAAGTACTCTATCAACTGCCGGATCAAGCTGTAGGCCAGGGCAATCAACTGTTGTTCGTACGTCAATTCGTCGTTTCCGTTGGTGGGCCGGGTACAGAAGTGGGAGATGACCGGTAAGCGGGCCTTTCGTGCCAGACTGGCGTAGCACGTCGAGATGAGAAGGACGGGGCTAGGAAAAGCCGTGGTTGGCGATCCGCCCACGGCAAGCACCTGGGAATATGTGTCGGTCGCCCACTGTTGCAAAGATGTCATGACATTCTCTTCTGCGATCACCTCCACATCAGGGTCCAGCTCGGGTGTCTGATCGTCTGCGTCGAAGAAGTTTTCTAGGTGGCTGGAAGCCAGCTGTAATTCCGCACGCGTATACTTGTGCTTCTGACCCCCTTCGCTCGATGTAAATCTATCCATGTCTTGCAAGGTGATATGGTCAGCATACCAAGCTGTTTGATTCTTCATGTACACCTTCGTAACCCTACCTATGTCCCTAGAAGCTGTTGTCGTTAAGCAAGCAATGCCAGTATTTTGCTGGCTCACCGGACGGATCTGGTGGCCCACGGTATCGAGCAGATGCGCAAGCAAGGCATCTCTCTCCCTCAAAAGCCTTGCGCGCTTTACCGCATCCTGCGCAATTTCCCAGACCAGATGACGAATGAAAGCGTTCTCCGCTTTGTGGCGGCGATCCCTCCGCTGTAAACCAATCTGGTCCAACCGGGCTTGTTCGAACAGACATAACTCCCTGTTGCAGGTCGTGTCGGTAATATCCTCAACATCATTGTCGTACTCATCGACGTCCATTATATCAGCGATTCCCCCCATTATTATTTTGGCGCTGTGCCGCAGGTGGCCGACAAGATCTCGGAATGTGTGATACACGTTGTGGTTGGGACTCTTAAGCAGTCGACATTTGGATTGGCGCACAAACCAGTCCATGAATTCGCCTAGGAAGAAGAAGAATAGAGTGTAAAAATGCGCGATCGAGTGAATTGTGTCTTTTGAGCAGGATGATAGATCTGTTGTGATGGCCAGGCAAGAGGACCGATTGATCATGACGAGTGATTTGATATATCCTTCCATGATCCTTGGATAGTTCGCAGATGCCTGGGAAAAAGTCAGCCACCCCAAGAAATGCGAGGAGTTTCACTGTAGAGATGGGTTACCTTGAGCGTTGACTGAAGGACACTGTAGAAGAGAGACAAGTATGCTTCATTTTTTGGCAGGGTACTCAAAAGGATGCTGTGGGCGTGAAGAGTGGATCTCAGCTCGGTGCACTGGTCACGGACCACTCGCTGCCTCGAGCTAGACGTCCAGACCGGCTCGATGCTGCTCACCAGACTCAAGACATCCTCAGGTCCCTGGGCGCGTTCCTGGAATTGGACAAGATCCGATGGGATGAGAGTCTCCTGGAGCTTCTTCCAAGACAAGGCGAGCTCGTTGTACTCGATATCGAGGATGGCAATCACGGGGTTTCTAATTTGGAATGAGATCAATCTGGGGATTGGACTTTGGGGTTGGTTGTGATCGCTGTGCTCCGCAATGGAGAGAAAGCACGGGCAATCTCATTGATAGGGGGGGGTATGTATGGAGACGGTTGTAGATCACCCGAAACAAAAAAAGAAAAAAGTTGGGGAGAGGGGGTCCACGAGCGGTCTAGACAACTAGGGAGAAAATGAGGAAGGGAAACAAATGCAGATGGAGGTTGGGCAACAGCGAACGGTAATTGTAAGACCCAAGGAATAAGAAAATTGAGTAAGAGGCCTCAGAAAAGACTCACGTTGATGGATGTCGCTTGTCGAAGCGCTTCCTCCAAAGGGAGATCGCCTCAGCATTAGTGTCGATGGATTGAGGGGCCATGATGGGGTCCAGGCGGAGATTTGGTGTGGTAGGCGGTCGGACGAGCTCTCTCTCGTCGACTGGATCAATGGGTTCATGTCAAGGGGGGAGGAGAGTCGGGGAGTGGAACGGCGAAGGAAACGAAGGGGGAAAGGCAAAAAAAAAAGGTTAAACGTGATGCAAAAGGTGGTCGACCATGCATTCAAGCGCGAAGATGAGGTGTAAAAAAGGAGGTGTGATGAAGACGGTGGAGGAATTCTAACTATCGTTTCCAGTTGTGTCCCTTGAGGAAGAGGTAGAACAAGGACGGTTGTCGACTAATGGTTGATGGTCGTCGTGATTATACCTTCATCTTGAATGAGTTGAGGTTGGCGGGTTATCCCGCTCGGGGAGAACGTGAGGCAAACAGAGAAGATGAAGAAAGCGACTCGGTTGGGAAGTTTTGAGGAGAAAGAAAGGAATGAAATGAGGAGAAGTAGGGAAAGAAGGAGAGAGAGAGAGAAAGAGGAGAGAGATAGTGAGGGTGTGAGTTGAGGGGACGAGCAGAGAAAAAACCATCCCCAAAGGGAGCAGGAGAAGGGTAAGAAAGGAACAAGAGGGAAATCTATTGAGGGAACTAAAAAAGTACCTCTGCAGAAGGAGGACTTTTTTGGGAGACTACGATTGCCTGGTCTGATCAAATGAATCTGGTCTGACTATATTATTTTTAAGTGTCTTTGAAGTATTCCAGTATTAATCATTATTATGATTATTATCAGATTTAATTCATCCTCTCTAGTTATAGTACCAAATTAATATTGATAGGCAATGGAGTTATCAATCATTTTCAAGCCTTGTTTTGATCAGTGGGATCTGGTAAGTTTGGGGGATATTTATTATTATCACTGAGAGGGAGAATGACCAGAAATTTAAATTGTTCTTAAACCATCACGGGACAGACAAAGAAACTAAGTTTACGTTAGTTGTCTTCTTGTCTGCTTGACTTCTTGCCTTCTTCTACCTTGAATGATACCGCGGCGGGTACATAAATACTAGGGGAAGTTCTTGAGAATCGCGCCTCTTTCCTCCGCCATTACTTCCTGGGACCCCTTTTCAACCCCGCAAGATGAGACACACCCACAACTTTATACATTTATATACACCCACAGAGAGATAAATAGAGAGAGACAGAGAAAGAAAGAGAAAGAGAAACCATGTCGAGGCTGTACTTCCGACCGTGTGAGAACATCTGACCGGGGTCCCGAGCTATCATTGCTGGATTGGGCAATAGGCGCTTTGGAGTCGATGGGAGCCTCGGCCTCGTCGGCAGCGCAAAACTGACCCTCCCCCCTTCCAGCAGGGGAAAACGGAAAAAAAAAAAAAAAAAAAAAAAAAAAAAGCTGGCACGCCTCCCTGGCTCCTTTGAACCAATAACGCGCCACCCGCGTGTTCGAGGCCTCCAGCAGGGGTAACAGAAGCGGAAATGCGCTGGAGGATGGATGAATTACTATTCCAGGCCCTGGCTGTAGGCCTACCCTCCTCTGAGCGTCGTCGTTGGCTCCTAATTTGGGTCCCACCTAGGATGGCGCGCGCCCTGGCCCTTTCCTCTTTGCCATTTGTGTCTTAGGGGGGAAAGATCGAGTGGTGATCTTACTGTAGTCCGATCATGAGGATGAAAGGCAATGTACGGAGTACCAGTAAAAAATCAAGAGAGTTTAGAAAGGTAACTTCATCCAAGCACTGCTACTGCTACCGAGTCATTCAGGGAGGCCAACTTCCTAGATGAGTGAGCTGTATATTGAC